AATAAAAAACATTTAATATAAAAAAATCAAGATAGAAAATTTTACTATGTATTTGAATATCTTCATGTGTACGATCTATCACAAGAAAGTCTTTAGCATCACGTACAATTGGTTCAATAACTATATAATCCGATAACAAATAACTAAAATATAGTTTTAAAAAATTTAATGATTAATGAAAAATTTTTCGTACTTACAGTGTATAATTATCAACAATATTCTGATAGTATCCACCATTAATATCTTTCCATGAATGAAATGACGAATCTTTTATGGCTGACATTGTTATGCTTACTTATATAAAATTACGATCAGAAAACCGGATAGTATAAATATAATTAGGAATAGATTAAAATATATACACGCGTATTTATATTGTGCACTCGCACAAGCAAACTATAGGTTGGGATAATAAATTAAAGAACGAATCGAATAGCATACGGCATCTTAAGTTTTCCTCATAGACTTACGCCATCTGTTTACTATGGACTAAACGAGTTTTTCAATACAAGAAAATTGAATATTGTCTTCTTTGAAGTGAACTATCTTCATTTTTGTATGCAACTTTAAATATTCCCTTGAAACTAATTAAATTAATGGCAGATAGATCTCGATGAATAGAGAAAGAATTGTCATAAACTAAGTCCCATAGAGCTGGAACTTGTTTTTACAGATACGAGACACTGTTCGCAGTGTCTATTTGTTTCCGTTTCTTTTTACCTTTTTCCATTCGAATAAAAAGTCAAAATACTGCGTGTGTTTCCAAAAATACATGTTTTTTCTGTAAAATCTGTCAAAAATCAACAGTGCAATACTTTTCCGAAAAAAGTGAGCACCCCAAGTAATCATCTTCAGTACGTGTAAAAAAGTTTCCATACATGTCAAACCTGAAAATTGAATTCAATTATTGAAAATTTACTTCAATTATTCAATTATTCCATTTTTTCTTTACATACACACCAGAGGTCCAAGCAGGTCCACTTTTTAAAGGTCTGACCTGCCTGTGATAGGCCTACAGATATTTAGCCTGCCTGCGCATGTCATAAAATTTCTTCGGTCTGGTCTGCCTGTCTAGGCCTGCCTACTTTTCTTTGGGTTTAATATCATGATAATAATAAAATATATTCAACTGTTAATCTTTATAGGAAGTTCAACACGTGCCGAGGATGGCATAGTGGTTCTATGCATTTGACTATTAGTCAGACATCAGAAGGTTCGATTCCTTCCCTCG